TACCCCCATCGCTGCCATTACTGAGCTCTGCCTCAAGTAAAAGCAAAAACTAAAAAAAAAGAGAAAAGACCAAAAAAAAAGTAGATGAGCCCTGGGTTCAGGAGTCTGGATGCTGCCATCTGGTTCTTGTTCAAGTGCACCACACATGAAATATGTTTTGGTTAGTTTATTGGAACTGTCAGGAAAGTTAAACTTCAATATTTGTTTGATTCTCCATATGCAAAAACTTTACAGAACTGAACTGTTTTAGTGGCTATGTATGCATATAAAGTTTTATGTATAAAGTATATTGTTCAAATAAGAAAACTCATTGAAATTGAGGCTTCTGTCACAGTACAGTCTGTTGCGTTTTCAGACGGGCACTGGCTAAATCGAAAAAGAGTTCCGCAGAATCTTGCAGCAATGGGTTAAATCAATTCACAATGCAAACAGTACAGTCTGTTAAACGTCATTTTGCATTCGAGGATTTCATGGCTTACAGTTCCAGAATAAATCAGCTGCTTAGCAAGTGGCTTAAAGAATAAGATTCATTGTGGAATAGGATGAACTTCAAGAATTCATTCCTTCTCAGGCAAGCTCTTCAACAGAAACTTGCAGGACACCTACCTTTCCAAGTTGAATTTGCACATGTAATATGCCAGTTGTTCACCTAGAGAAACAAAATGGATCAGTGAAAAATAAAGAACTCCCTCTACAGAGACTGATAAAGAAATAAAATTGATAGACAGAGGGGGAGACAAAGTCAGGGACAGAGATGAGATGGAGATAAACAGACAAAAAGAAGTGAACAAAGGGGAAAAACACAGAAGTAAACAAACCTGGTAAACAGGTCGTACAACATTAATGGGAGATAAATGTTCGACTTTTTACTGCAATTGACACTTACCTTTTTTGATTTACTGATAATAAAAATTACTGATGAAACCATATACAAGTGATTTGCTTTTGAGAAATGTTTTGTGTGGTACCAAGAACTTGTCTCATTCAGGTCAGAGACAGTAAAACTACTACAGAAAGCCATGGACTCCCTGAAAACATTAAGCTAGGAAAACTGAATGTGGCTTCCAGCAGCAAGTAGCAGATACAAACCAATTCTGCAATCAGCATGACTGCTATTAGTGTTAGTTGTGGAATTAGCAAACCGTGAAATCTTTGCTTCCTGCCACTTTCAGTCACATTATTTTCACAGTTCTATTAAAACACATTGTGGAATGTATATTTACAAGTTTGCATATCAGTTACCAACGGAAATGTAGAGTTATTTCAGTTTTCATCCCCACTCAATATAGGGACAGTCAAAGGCAAGGGATTCAATGATAATCTCAGAATCCTAAATGTGATGGAAGGAAAAATGACCATATTGCCTTAGGAGGAAAACATTTTAAATTGGTGAAGCAAAATTTGGCTTGGGTGCTGATAAATGGCCAATTTACTTAAAATAACTCAACAAATAAATTAAAAGAGGAAGAGTTTCAGAAACTCAAGGTTTTCTGAAAAAATACCTTGTCCAGATAAACAGCAGAATGAAGATTTTCAGCTGGTACGTCAAACGTGACTATGATCCTTCATGAACTGACTCCCAGGTGTGGATTCTCTAAAACAAAGTGGCATATGATTTACTGAGGGATTATTAAAGGTCAAAACCTCAGGATATTAAGGCGCTAAAGGATTATGTTGGCAAGTATTCTCAGCTTTAAGTTCCTTCAAAATGGGAGATTTTAAGTACATCAATTTCAGTTCAAGAAACATCCAATTGATTTGTGGATGGGTGGGGGTGGGAGATCAGAGACAAACTCAGGAAGAGAAACAGCTTTCTTTGCCAGTCTGTGTTCAGCAGGTTAACATTATTTCCCAAGATGTCAAAAGGGAATAGAAACCTCACTTGTTTATCCCAACGGACATCAGCAAAGACAAAATGGTCTGATGTAACCTTAGGACCAGGACACTGACATTATGGAATTCAACTCCCAGTGGATGATAATTCAAGATCCATCACAATTTGCTTTTTTATATTGCCCTTCAGGGGGCAGAAAGATTTCTCACAGTTGTATTAAAAGGAGGGGGAACAGGGGGAAGTATTGAAGTGGAGCATAAAAGTAATGAAGGCAAGCTCGCAGAGAAGGTTTAAGAAGGTTTTTGAAGAGTTGGGAACGGCACAGTGGAGAGTTGAGAGGAAACTTTCAGAGGACAGAATGAATAGGCAGGAAACAATCAGACAGAGAGAAAGAAACCTCTGATGACAGCCGAGGGAGGACAGAGAGGTACATAAGGGAGAAAACACTGCGGTAGCTCTGAATAAGGCCTTGTGGAGATCTGAAAATAAGCATGATAACTTTAAAAAAAAAAAACTTTCATCTGCCAACAATCATATTCACTAAGATTCCAGATTCTAGAAATTTTCAGCTTCTTAATCAACTTTGAGTGGTTTTGAGGCAGGCAGCAATGTCAAATTGAGGCCACAATCAGTCACGATTTTATTGAACAGATGAGCTGGCTCAAGAAGCTGAATGCTCCTAATTCCTTTATCCCTTCATGTTTAATTAAGGGCCATAAAGGTTCAGTAAATCTATTGTCCAAGATAAATGTTCATGTTAAAAAGCTGATTAAAACAGAAGGCACTAACTCAACTTTGTCACCAGTTAGGGCACTTCACAGCTAAGGGTGGGAGGAGTCAACAGGATTGCTAGCTAAGGTTTCTTGGTAATTAGCTTAGACAAAAATCAAACTGCTGCCTGGAGTTACTGACACATTAGCTTAGGATCTTCTGTATAATCATTGAACCGAAGTGATAACCAGCAACCATACAAGAATAAAACCACATACAATCTCTGACTTCAAAGAGCTTGAGGGCATTTTGCACAAGGCAGGGGAGATAGAGGCATTGAAAATCAATTAGGTAAGCAAGTCTCATGAAGGGCAAAATTTGTGGAATTGTCAGAAATTTTTCCATTAGGTCAGTCATGACCTAATTGTCATGACAGTCATGACCTAATTGTTTTCAACAACAGAACAGTTCTGAAGGGCTGAATGGCCTATTCCTGTTCCCAGATTACTATCTAAATAATACCAGTGCAACTGGCACCAATGCACATCCTGCATTTGCAGCTCCCAATTTTCCATAACATGTCAGAATGTGCCCTATACTAATAAAACAAGAGGAACCGCTCAGTTATGTGCGTGCCAGGAGTTGGATTGTTGTGGGGACAGCTACTTTGGCACACCCTGACAATATTCAAACAAATTAAGAAAAATCCAGCTCCTGTGCGGCAAATATCAATTTCTCTTTGATGGCTTTTACAAGTATTAAAATAATGTAGCATTCAATCTACTTATTAGAGGGACAGAACTTGGAAAATGGTGCATCTTATTGTTGGCCAATGGGTGTTTTTTTCACGACCTGAAATTGCTCATGCCTGTGACCTCCACATCTCTGGTTTTTTATTGCTCCATACCACATGACAGGATGCAGAATTCCAGCATGAGGTTTTCAAACACACGTGTGGAAATGTTGCCTTCTCACAGTTTGAAAGTTTTACTGAAACTCCCGTCATGGCAGTGATCAGTGCAGCTAGGGTCCAAGCAGAAACACCCATAGGAACAGTGGAGCTCAGTAATTTTAACGCCACTGTGATTCAAAGATCTCATTTACACGGGTCAGAAGGTTGTGTTTTCAAACCTCACTCCAGAGACTTGAGTTCATACTTCAAGCTGACACTTCAGGACTAAACGGAAAGTGTTCCAGCACTGTCAGAGGTGCCATGATTTAAATGAGATGTTGCATCAAGGACCCATCTGCCATCTCAGGTGAACGCACCCATGGCTGCTATTCCAAAAAGAGCAGGCGAGTTGTCTCCATTGTCCTTGTCTATATTTATATCTGAAAACAATGCTAAAGACAGATTGAGGATGTTCCCGATGGTGGGTGTGTTCAGAACCAGGGGTCATAGTCTGAGGATTCGAGATAGTCAATTTAGGATGGAGATGAGGAGACATTTCTTCACCCAAAGAGTGGTGAGCCTGTGGAACTCATGACCACAGGTAGTTGATGCCAAAACACAATGTATTCAAGAGGTGACTAGATATAGCACTTGAGTGAATGGGATCAAAGTTTATGGAGAGAGAGAAAGCAGGACTAGGCTGTTGAGTTGGATGATCAGCCACGATCATGATGAATGGCAGAACAGGCTCCAAGGGGCTAATGGCCTCCTCCTACTCCTATTTTCTATGTTTCTCACATTTGTTGCTCGTGACCGCTTGCTGTGCGCAAAATAACTGTGTTCATTGCATTACAAAAGCAATCCAACTTGAAAAGGCTTAAATTACTTCCTAGTAGTGATAAAAGCACTATACAAATGCAAACTCTTCACTTCCACTTCTTGAATCTTCTCCAGACCTGTGCAAAATCCTTATACCTCAAGTAGCGTAGCAAACCAAACACCTGGCAAGCATTGCAATTTCCACATGGCAGAGGGATGTGAATTTCTAAACCACTTGGTTTAAAAGGGAGATACAAGTAAAGCACGATTGATTTATCTGATTGGCCGCAGAATGAGAGGAAAAGGGTAAAATAATGGGTCGATTGCTTAATCAGCAACTGGTAACCAAAGACAGGATTCACATTGCTAATACATAAAAACTTGGAATATTTTATAAAATGAGGCGGAAATGGGAAATACACCAGACGGGGAAAGGATAATTTTTAAAAATAAATTGGTGAAGAAAGTAATTGCAGAAGCCAATAGAAACCCTGGTGTAAATAATGCTGACTGTAGTCTGATGGTTTGTATAAACGGCCCAATGACTTGAGGGTAACTGATAACTTAGGGTTACAAAGATACAAAGGACAAAACATTGATGGAACTCAGGTGGTTTGCAGGAGCAACACCTTCCATAATGTAAACCCCCATTAACATACAACTAAACAGATACTTCTATCCATATAGCTCAATGAAAAAGTTTGTTCTAGAAGGTTCTGTATTTGTATTATGAAAATAAAAAGGTCTGTACATCAACACATCTGAATCATGTCAATTTATGTTATTATTCAAAAGTTGGCTTTGGTTTTTTTTAAGTATTTATATAAATTCATAGAAAATATTAAACATCTAACAAAATAAATAAACAGATCATCTAAATCATAATAGTTAATGATCATGTTTGAAAAGCTTTTGTTTTAAACATTTGCACCTAGATTCACATATATATTTTTTTTCTTCAAACTTATAAACCAGAATCAGTAGTGCTCAGGGAGGAGGGAGTGCTTCTTTTCAATAGGTCTTAAAAATAAACAAGATACATTTCACTAAATGCTGAGGTTTCCTTCATGTCTTGCATTTTTTGGTGGCACAGATTTGATCTGTGGAGTCTCTGTGCAGGTGACGAGACAAATCTCTGACACACACTGTTCCATGATGAAGTACAGATACCTAATACAGTCCCAACACAAAGAAAGCAGATACACTTAGAGTGAGTTTTTAAAAATGTGCAATGGTGTTCTGCAGCAGCTGATCGTGAGGATCACACAAACTATTTTTTCTCATCAGTCCTGCTGGGAGCTTTACACTGGAGCAGGATTGCACAGTATCAATCCAGTGTAAAAAATTCTGAAAACTGACAGCCAAATTAGAGCAAAGCGTCCTGCTCCCATATTTCCCTTGGGATGTCATGCTCGACTGCCTCATTTTGAAGAAATCCAATTGCAAGCAATGCAGGACTTGTACAAATGGCAATGAGTCTGATAACATATCTGGCCTGGTCACAGCCCATTCATGGCTCAGGAGGACGGAGAGAACGCAGCTTCTGTTCATCCAGACACTTCCAATATTTGAAATTAATCGCCAAGTACTGGATCAAGTTGGGTAGGTCAGCGAACACTACAAATTTTAAAAAAAAGTAAAGACTCATATCAAAGAATTAATAATAAAGATTTAACAAACTAGGGCTACTAGAGACAGAGAAAGCTGAGGGGCCAATTGATAGAGATCTTTTAACAGTTGATAGAATTAGATAGAATTATAGTAACAAGGAAAAAGTAGGCAATTCAGCCTTTCAACAGGGTAGAGATAACGTTTCATTTGTAGGAATCTAAAACTCAGGACTATAAACATGAAAATCACTCATAAATCTGATCCAGACTAATTTATCCGGAGAACGTGGACCAAGTAATGACGAGGAATGATTCAGGTGAGTAGTGTGGGCATGCTCATGGGGAACAGGAAGTGAGAAAGGAATACATAGATATAATGATGGCGTTAAGGTGAAGTTAAAATAGGAGATTTGTGCAGAGCACAAGTCCTGGCATGGATTAGTAATGTTGAATGGCCTGTATCTTTCCTGTAAATAAAACAAACGTTCCTGAAACATATTATCTGATCATTTATCTTGTTTGTGAGACATTGTGATAGGGTTAGCTGAAAGGGGGAGGAAGTATGTGTGTAGCGTAGACTGATTGAGCCAAGTGGCTTATTTCTGTGTAATGCAGCAAGTGCTTTAATAATACAGACAGAAAGGGGAGCTGTGTCCATAGGGTGATACAGCAATTACTGTGTTGAAACTGTACATCATATGACTTGTGCTTCAGAAGTGATTCAGTTGACAAATGAAGAGCACACCAACCAGTTCCCTTAGTTAGATTAGCACTACTTCCTATGAGTAAGTGCATTATCCAATAGTCTTTGCAGCTCTACCTTACAAGTTTAATCTGTGGCCTGTGCAAAGAGGAACAATTAACACTTTCAGAAGAAGAATTAGAGGAACTAAAAATTGGAAAATTGGAGAAATGAAATAAGATTTCAAAAGAATTTGTGACGGACTCAAAATACTGCAAAGAATTAGTATGATCAAAAGAACTTCAGTAATTTAATGTAATCCAATGACAGCTTCACATTATCATTTGGACTGTAGAACATGTTGAGTTTCGATGGGAGGGGAAAGGGTGTCAGGGAAAAAAATAAAACACTTACCATCCCAGGCATCAAACATATCCGTTACAAAGTAATCGATGAAGGAAATTTGTGACTTGGGGATGCTGCAAGTCTTTCTATCAAACACAGGCATTACTACAGGTAACCCTTGTCGTTTCTCCTCATCAGTCTATTAAAGAGACAGATTTATAGATTAAAGGAGCTCAGCTAATCTTACTAACATCACTCACATCGAATAATGCAATATATAAACATGCTGGCATAATCATCATGCTCATGAAATCAGCTCACTTTGAGAAAATGTAGTTTCTGCCCCCCAGGTTTCTATTTACAAGATGTCATTCCTCAATGGAGTTGCACCAAGGAATATCAGGGCAGGGTAGCGATAAAGTGGTTATAAGCTCAGCCAAAGTTAGAGCAGACACTTGGATTGACTACCCAACATCCTGAAACATGAACAGGTTCTAGGGAGTCAAGGTGAATTGCTCACTGCAGGATTCCTAGCCTCTGACCTGCTCTCGCAGCCACTGCATTTATATGCCAAATCCAGTTTGAACTCTAGTCAATAACCCTCAAGATGTTGATAGCAGGGGTTTCAGTGATGGTAATGCCATTGAATGTCAAGGGACGGTGGTTAGATTATCCCTTTTTGGAAATGGTCATTTCCTAGAATTTGTGTGGCACAAATGTTATTTGCCACTTGTCAGCCCAAGCCTGGATATCATCCACGTCTTGTTATATTAGAACACGAACTGCTTCAGTATCTGAAGAATTGCAATTGGTGATCATTGTGCAGTGAACATTCCCAATTCTGACCTTATTATGGAGGGAGATCATTGACGAAACCGCTGAAGATGGTTGGGTCTAGGACATTACCCTGAGGAACTCTTGCAGAGATGCCTTGGAGCTAAGATGACTGACCTCCACCAACCATCTTACTTTGTGCCAGGTACAACTCTAATGATTCCAATCAGCAAAGAGTATTCCCCTGAATCCAATTGACTCCAATTTTGCTCTGGCTCCTTGATGTAGCCTTGATATTAAGGATACTCTCTTAATTCACCTGTGGAATTTAGCTCTTTTGTCCATTTTTAAATCAACTGTAATGAGTTTAAAACGAGATAGACTGACTCTGAATAATCAGGGCATGCCCGTGTGAGGGTGGGGTGAGGGTGAGGGCGAGGGCGCAAGTCAAGAGAACACAAGAACGAGAGACTAATCACTAAACAAAATGTACCAGGGAAAACCAATGGGGTTAAAGGCTGATAAAGTTCCATGGGCCTGTTGGGTTGCATCAGGGGATTTTATAGCAAGTAGGAACAGAGTTAGCAAATGGACTGGTGGTAATCTTCCAACAATCCCTAGATTCTGGAAATGTAGCAGAGTATTGGAAAATTGCCAATGTACCATTCTTAGTCAAAAAGGTAGGAGGAAAAATAAACTGTAGACCAGTTAGCTTAACATCTGTCATTGGGAAAATACCAGCGTCTACTGTAAAGGATGCATTGGCAGAGCAATTAGAAATACTTCAGATCAAGCATTGTCAGCATGGCTTCACAAAGAGGAAATCATACTGAACAAGTGTATTACTTATATTGTGGATGTAACAAGTAGGACACAAAGGGGAACCAAGTCAGAAGTCACACGACACCAGGTTATAGTCCAATTATTTATTTGGAATCACACAAGCTTTCAGAGAGCACCTGACGAAGGGGCTACTCTCGGAAAGCTCGAGAGATTCCAAATAAACCTGTCGGATTATAACCTGGTGTCGTGTGACTTCTGACTTTGTCCACCCCAGTCTAAACCGGCACCTCCACAACAAAGGGGAACCAGTAGATGTGCAATATATTAGGATTTCCAAAAGGTGTTCAATAAAGCACCACACATTAAGCTACTTAGGATGACAGCCCATGGTAGTTGGTGTAGTATATTATCATGGAAAGAGGATTGGGAAACTAACTGAAGACAGAGTTGGAATAAAGGGGCCATTTTCAGGATTGTTACCTACAACTAGTGAGCCCCTCAGGGATCAACGTTGGGGTTATAATTATTTACTATATCAATGACTTAGATATCAGAAGTCAACATACTGTTGTCAAACTTGATGATATAAAAATTGACGTGTCTGCTCAGGATGGCACAAAGAATCTGAAGGAGTCATGGACAGGCTAAGTGAGTGGGCAAAAGCTTGGCAAGTGGATTATAATGTGGGAACATGTGAGGTTATGTGCTTTGGCAGGAAGAATAGTGGAGCTGTATAGTATTTAAATTGGGAAATACTGTAGAAAGCTACAGAAGAGAGGGATCTGTGTGTTCTTGCGAATGAATTGCAGAAGCTAGAGACCTGGCCCAGTAGGTAATGGAGAAGGCAAACAGAAAGATGGTGTTTATTTCAAAAGGAAATGGGGGAATGGAGTATAAAAATAATGAGGTCTTGCTAAATCTGTACATGGCACTATCAGACTGTACATGGGATACGGTGAACCATTTTGGATCCTTATTCAAGATATACTGACATCAGAGGCAGAGAAGGGTATGGAGGGATTGTCTAATGCAGAGAGGTTGAGTTTCTACTTATTATAGTTTAGAAGACTGAGAAGGGTCCATATTGAAACATACAAGATTAGGGACTTGACAGGGTGGATGCTTAGAGGTTGTTTACACTTGTGTGACAGTCTAGAGCCAGAGGGTATAGTGTCAGAGTAAGGGGTCACCCATTTAAGACAAATATGGAGGGTTTTGTTTCTCTCTCAGAGGGCAGTGAATCTATGGCATTCTTTACCACTGAGGGCTGTTGAGACTGTTGTTTAGTATATTAAAGGTTGACAGACAGTTTTTAAAATCAGTAAACAAATCAAGGGTTATGGGAGTAGGGCAGGAAAGGAGAGTTGAGGATGATCAGAGCAGCCATGACCTCATTGAATGACAGAGACCACCCAGTTGGTCGAATGGCCTACTTTTCTTCCTACATCTTATGGTCTAATGCATAGCAGCACTGTAAAACAGCTAGCTTCACGTGTTGCTCAAACCAAGATCATTCAAGGGCTGAATATATAGCACTTGTGTGGACTGAAAGTTATATACATTAACACAGGGCCCTGTTCTTTGAGAATAATTCCATATATTTCAACTTGAAATAAGCAACAACCACTCTCTGGTTCCTTGCTCAGAGCGATAACTTGACTTATGAGTCAACCTGCCCAGTTCAAATTTAAACAGAGCTTGACGAGTTAATTGTCAGTCATTGCCTAATTGGTGCATTGCTCATGTCATCCCTCTTACCAGAGACCACTTGCTAACTCATCAGTAGTTTCCGCTCATCAGGATATATCTTATTTTCCCTTTACATTGGTATTTCTTGAGAATTTCCTACAAGGTTGTCTAAGACGAAAAACTTCAATAAAGAGTCTCTTTTCAACAATGCACAAAATCTGTACTATTAAACAACTGTTTTCAATTTACCAGACATCAATACAATCAGTCTTTGAGGACAGGAAGCAAATGAAAAATTCAGCCTCACCTGAGCAAAATACTCCTCTGAAATACGTGCAGCCCACTCAATACAGAGATCTAGGGGTCGGCAGGGATTGGAGATATCTGCACATTTTATTAACATGCGTTTGATCAGAGTTCGATTTTCAGGAGATGTGAGGATGGTATTACATGAATCTTCATTGATACCACTATTCTGCAATGAAAACATCAAAAACACACGTCAGTGTTATATTCTAAAACACCTTCATTGGTTGCTAAAATAGTATTTAACCTGAGTAGAGGAGCAGAGATATAAATCTGAAATCTTACCATTAATGACAACCAAATAATTTATACACTACATCTCATCACCCACCTTCCTGACAGCAAGCACACTGGGGATCCTGGCAAGTAAGATTCCCTTCTTTGTACAATTTGGGAAAATGCTTGTCAATTAACACAGACGTGAATTTCTAGCCAGTAGTTTAGGTGGAAGGCAGGGGTTGGACAAATGCAACTAATACTTTCAATGGTTTTGGATACTCGTGTGTTAGCTTCTGTACTTTTGATAATGCATGGAATATACCAGCATGAAGCCATTGTAAGAGAGAATGTTACTGCAAAAATCACTGAATGCACTAAATTAACACAGCAACATGATCTGATCTTGAAGTATTACCAACAAAAGTTGTATCTTGGTAAGGCCATATAAAAAGCAATCAAGCAGTCATTTTATTTCTAGAAGATTGCATTGAAAAGTAGAGAAGTGTGTTGAGCCTGTGTTGAACCTTGGTGAGATGACAGTTGGATACCTGGGAGGGTAGTTGAGACGGGAAACCTCAATTTTTAAGAAGTACTTAGCTGATCACTTAATATGTCGTAACATTCAAGGCTATGGCAGAAGTGCTAGAAAGTGGGCAAGTATAAATTTAGGGTGGTTTTTGTTGGCCCCTTCTTTATTGCACAGTTCTATGATTTTATGAAATTATTTGAATAAAGGGACCAAAAGTATGGTAGCTAAATTTGATGATACGAAAATAGGTCAGAAAGTAAGTTGTGAAGAGTACATAAGGAGCTTCAAAGGGATATTGATAAGTAAGCGAGCAAAGATTTGTCAAATGATGTATAATGTGGGAAAGTGTTAAACTACCCATTTTGGCACAAAGAATATAAAAGCATATTATCCAAATTGGGAGAGGTTGTAGAGCTCAGAGATGCAGAGAGATCTGGTTGTCCTCGTGCAAAAGTATGCAAGTACAGCAAGTAATAAGGAAAGGTAACAGAATACTGTTTTATTGTGAGAGAAATTGAATGCAAGAGCAGGAACTTTCGCTTCAGTTATACAGGGCATCGAAATGACCACACGTGGAGCACTCTACTGGTCACGATACTTACAGAAAGAAGTCAAGTTGTTGCAAGAAATTCAGAAAAGGTTTACTAGGCTAATATCTGGAATAAATGGATTACCTTGAGGAAAGGCTGGACAGGCTAGGCCTGTATCCTCTGGTGTTTAGAAGAGTCACAGGTGGTGACTTAATTGAAACATGAAAGATCCTGAAGGGGCCTGACCAGGTGGATGTGAAAAATGTGTTTCCTCTCATGGGAGAATCCAGAACTGGGGTCACATCTTAAAAATAAGTGTTTGCCCATTTAAGACAGCCAAGGAAACACCTTTTTCTCTCAGAAGTTTGAGTGTCTTTGGAATTTCCTTGCTCAAAAGGCAGCGGATACAGAATCTTTAAATTTTTTAAGGCTGACGCAGATAGATTCTTGATTACCAAGTGGACGAAACGTTATCAAGGATTTGTAGGAGAGTCGACTTGGGGTTAAAATTAGATCAGCCATAACCTTATTGCACAGCAGAAGGGGTTCGAAGTGCCAAGGCTACTCCTGTTCATTGTTTGCATGGAATAAGACAGCCAAAAGATTCAACAGGAAATTCTGAAGAAATGTTTTTACCCAGTGATGAGGCTGTAGAACTCACTACCATGGGGAGTGTTTGAAGGTGTGTAACATACTCATTAATTGGAAGGCAGGAAGTTAGAATTTGTATGCAAAAATGATAGTGGGGAAAAGCAGTGTGTGATCCCTTTAAAAGATTGTGCTATTTCTGTGCTTGGAAGTTTACAAGTACTGTACAAACAGCCCCAACTTGAAACAAGTGTATCAAAAGGTCTTACAGTTGGCAGGCAAAACAGCAGTCTTGTTTTGATGTTTTGGCAACAAGCTGGACTTAGCAATTAATTTAAACTGAGCACTCAGCAACTGAAAGCCAACTGAATTTGAAACTGATGGTCTTGACAAACTGAAACCAATCATTATAGAAACTGATGTGTCATTTGGGGATATATAAGAAGGGGATTTTTGAAAAATCAGGGTGAGAGCCAACTGAGAAATAAACCTAGCTCTCACAAAATCATTAAGTGCTTTCAAAAAAAAACCATCAAAAAGGTACCATGGCACTTCTAGCTAATCCTCAAGAAGAAATTAGAGAAAACATCCCTCACAGGAAGATCAGCCGAAGAAAGGCTGGAGAGACAGAGGAGAAGACAAATCATTCCAAAAGACACAGTGTGAACTTTGAGAGACTAAATTTTACTTTTTCTTTTCTTACAACTTGGGTTATATAAGTGGGACTTGTTTATTGGAATAGCATACCAGTAGAATTTTTTTCAGTTAAGTAACAGTTAGGAGTTAGTGGGGGTTGTTCAGTTTGTTAGCAGTTCTCTTAATTTGTTCACTATTAGGGTTAAATAAATAGTTACTTATCCTTTCCTTTAACTTCTCCTTTAACATATTATGAGGGGGAAGGTGAGCTTCTCTGGGTGTTTTAGGTTTAATTATTAGAAGAGAATCTCTACTCCTGCCATAATGGATTGGGACTGGTGTTTTGGGTTAATTATCAGAGGGGTTCTATCTTACTCCCACTTTGTAACAAAGGGAACAGTGCAGTTAAATTTGATGAGATGTCTGAGAAGAATTTTAGAGGGAGAGGAAAACAGGATTACAATAGGAAATTGGTTTGAGGAGATTCAAGTGGGGTAAATGTGTTAGCAAGGACTGGGTGGACTGAAAGCACTTGTCAGATACGAGTCAGAACACCAAAGTACAATAGGAACTTTTAGTTTGTAATCCCAAATTCTGCCTTCTTCATAAGAAATGTTGAGAGAGAAAAAGAAAGAAAGATACAGCACGTGCTAGCAGGACAGACCCAGAGACGTCACATCTAAAGAGGCAGACACACATGCGTGTGCGCGCGTGCGTGGGGGGTGGGGGTTGTGGCAGGGGGAGATAGCCAAGTCGAAATAGACTGGACTGTGCCTACAAGATAACAAGGGTTGACTACACCATACTTGACAGCAAGCCACACTGTGTGGAATATGTCCTAAATTTCAAACACATCTTGTATTTTTACTTTTGAATAATACACAAGGACAGGGTCAACACAGCGTGGAGCTGGAGGAACTCAGCAGGTCAGGCAGCAAAGCAGCAGGAAAGTCAACGTTTCAGGTCAGGACCCTTCATCAGGCAGGCGTTAGAAAGCCAGTTTCAACTCTACTGGAGGATGCTAGAGGGATTGAATGGTTTTGTGTCACAGCAGGCTAAAGTATCCTCGTTCACCAATCTGGTTTCAAGTGTTAGCATGCTGTAATGTTGAGGAACAATTCCCTAGACACCTGTGTTGCAAGTAAAGGGATTCTCTCACTCTCTGCTAGTAGCCAGCTAGTTAACAAGACAGATCAAAGGAACAGGACAAAAGGACTCTCTCTCAATCTGAATGTTGGAATTCAGTCCCTGACAAAAGAGACCAAAACAATGGAATCTAAACCATCCTGCAAAACTAAGAATTTTTAAATTGAATGTTCAATAATGAATGTCAATGCTAGCAGTAACCTCCAATGCAATGGCTGCAATATTCAAGTGCCCACTCTCTGTGAACAACTCAGAGATGATCCGTATATTTTGATTTCACCTTTTTTGGATTCACTTCTTATTTATAATCCATGTGAGCTGTGTTATTAATTCTTCTTGTATAAGAATGTAAAAAGTGAGTTTATTAATTTGTAAATTCAAGTTAACAGATGAGGCAGCATCTTTGTGAAATTGTCTATTTTGGCAGGAGGAATAAAAAACCATTAACTAAACAGAGAGCAATTGTAATAAACATTATTGTAAACTAATGGTTAGTTAACTGACAACACAGGTGATCATGTAAGAGTCCAACACTTATTTGGAAATTTAAAAATCTAGCCTTTTGATAAATATTTAACAATTTTTCATAAATGATGTTGGGATTATATGATATCTGTAAGCAGCATTGCTATCAACGTGTTATGAAAATTACAGGCTGCCTAAAACATTCTGCAGGGGCCTTCACTTTGCGTAACTATCGCTGGTCCAATTTCAGCAGCTGATACACAGTACCGTCAGAATTTGCACTGTTGTAAGGTTCCTCCATCTGTAGTGGACATTCATGTAACCAGGAATTATTGCTGTTTTTGTTTTGGGTAGGGGTAGAAAAGGAGGGATGGGTTGGGTGAATAAATGGTGCAAGTAGACACTACAAAATTCAACTCCTGTATTTCACAAAATGTAGTCAGTCCAATGGCATGTATTACCAGCTCCAGCCTATCAATACCTCAGACCAAAGCACAATAGTTTCAATCGCAGACCAAGGCCTGCACTGATGGGAGTCATTTTGTAGATGCCACATCACCAAACAACTCAAAATCTGATCCGGAAAACTGAACAATCACAATAACTTGACAAGGGATAACTTTCCAAAGGCAGAAATGTAGCAAAGATGGGCACAGAAAGAATGCCATTCCCAAGGCAAACCCAATCAATGAAAGCAATTTACATAACCTAATTAGCATAGAATGGTATAAATATTCCTAATCATCTAGGCACACACTGTCATTTGTTTTGAAGGGGCAAATTAAACAAGAACACTGTTCAAAATAACAGGCTAAGAAACAATTAAAGGGTCACAAAGATACTGAGTGGGGAGGAGCAAGGTTTAGTGGTGGGCATCAAGGAACTTCCACATTATTTGAGAGCCTTATTACCTCAATGTGACACTCAGACCTTGTGCAAGTTCAAGTAACAGCAGAATTCTGGCTGTTGCTGACACCTTTGAGCTGCTGGACAACAAGATCTGTTCAATATGGTAGGCAGGGGTCAATGATCAGCCATCTAATGCACAAGGCTTCTTCTACCGGTTCCTTCCCCTCATGTACCATTACATACATTTGTATTTCAGTCTCCATACTTGCCCACACACACACACTTTCTTCTGCTCACCTGATCTACCATGCATCCTCAAAAGCACACACACTGACTCTCACCAGCCATTAAATATTCCTTGGCATATAAACATTTCAGGGATTAAAGTAAACTGAGAATTACTCAGCTGCAGTTCATAACTGAAGTTCTCACTGGTTGTTGCTGAAACCAACCTAGCAATCTTGATTTTTACTTGTACGATATCAAGATTCTAAAATGCTACAAATGTCTGTAAGGTGTGAATGACTGCATTGTTGCATGTCATATTGTGATCCTATCCTAAGCAATCATGGGCATTACAGAAGGTCTCTCCATTCTTACCCCAGAGCCGTTATCCTCCAGTCCAGCCAAAGGTTTGTTGATGCTGTTTACAAACTTGTTGACATGTTCAAAGTGTTTTGTCATCTCTGTCGCAAGGACCATATCTATAATAGCTTGTCGGAGTGTCCGATATTCATTCCTGGTTAAAAAAAAAGTTCATTTGCAATTGAACAGTAACTTGCATTTATATGATTCCTCTAATAAGAAAATTTCCCCAAGAAACATTATCAGACACTGAACCATATTGACAGAGAATAGGACAGATGGCCAGAAGTCAGGTTTTAAAGTGCATTTTAAAAGAGCAGATCAGAGGTTTATGAAAAGGACTTCAGAAGTTAGGCTGAAGGCACATAGAAGGAAGCAGGGGATAAAACTGGAACAATACAAAAATGTTGAAGAGTTGTGGGGTTGAAGGATGTTATAGAGATGGGAAGGGTAAGGCCATGCAAGGATTTAAAAAAATTGAGAGAATTTTAACATTTGAATTGTTGGCAGGCCAAGTGAAAACGTAGGTCAACAATCACAGCTATAACAGGCAAGTTGGAACAAACAGAAGAGTTTTGAATGTGCTAAACTATATGTAGGATGCAACTAGGGAGGGTCAGCCAGTACAGCATTAATGATCACATCAGCAGCAACATCCAAAACAAAACCACAAGGTCTCTACCTAGGTCTTAAAATAAATCACAGGAAAGTTCTAATATACAAGGGGGGAAAAAAAAACCTAATTGCAACTAGGAAACAAAACATGATTGATTAGCTTTACCAGATCCATATTGCAACTGAACAAAAAGCAAGTGCAACCTGGGACTTGGGATGCGAAATGCTAACTACAAAACCCACAACTACAAGAATCTAGCAATTCAGCCAAAAAACACTCAACTCGAGTTTCTCAACTGCTGACAACTCAGCACCCTCAGCTAACAGCTTTAGTGACTCCTCTGTGGCAGCAGGACTGCACAGGTTTCAGGTGGAAAGAAGGTGAAAGAATTCTCATAACTCTCTGGAAGTGTGTACGTGGCATGATAACAGCAATAGGTAAAAAATGTGAACTTAAGATGTTCCAGCTGGTTAAAGCTTTGTAACACTATATAATATAAACATCGATAAGCAGAAAACCATTCTCTTTTAAAGTGTTTTACTCATTTAGACCTTTCCTTCAGGTTATGACAAATTAAACTCATACTCAGCAGAAGAGCCTGGTTGAAAATTTCTGACTTCAGTGAATTTTGGACTTGACTTCTCACACCCTTCCAGTATGGAGCAACAATTCCACTGTGCTTCCCCCTTGTGCCTTCGTTCCAAATCTACAATTGACAGTTGAGGAGCTGGTTTCCTTACTGGAGAATCCTAGCTGCAGAAAGCTGGATGACCTGTCTTGGTCTCACTACAAACACCACAAATATTCAATTAGCAGCCCAGATATTCTACACAGTCAAGATGCATCTATAAATCAAAGTAACCCATTTAATAACAAATTCCTTCCCCAAGCCTCAGTTAAATATAGACCAGGTCCAAGCTGTAACCTCCTCTACACTATCTCATCCAGTTACATACAGTCAGATATACTATGGGTCACACATGCAGGGTGAATTCTCATCGCCCATCTGTATGTTTTAATCATATAAAATACATTGTTACTGCACAAGGCTAACAGTTGTATCCCCCAAACAAGACAACCCTGTAAGCCTTTCGTGTAAGATTATGAAATTCAAACTGAATTATGAATTTTGTGCTATAAACCCTCATTTATAAAAGTTATTTTGCTCTTTCCAGAATCCTTTTCACTGGAAAGCTTCTGTTTTCCCTCATTACCTCAGGCAGGATTTATTCAATAAGACTACGAAAGAAGCAAAGTCTTGCGACTAGTCTGCAGTTGACAGCTGGAATTCACAGCATTATAAGCACAGGCTTTCTGGGCAACTGTGTCACTCCTTCCCAAGTAGACCATGCTAATATTTGTCATTAACATAAGAGGTAAGCTTTTTTGTTAAACTGTACTTCTGCATCCTTTGATTTTTATCTATTTAATACATCAGTAAAATTGGTATGGTTTGATGTATAGATAGCTCAACCAACATCACAAAACAATCTGTTCATTTATCTTATTGCTGCTTATGTTGACTAAGCACCAACTGACAGCCCCAAATTTTTCAAACTAAAGTCGTGACCATACTTCAAAAACTACTTATGTCTGTAAAACATTTTAGGATATCCTGAGGTTATGTAAGACACTATATAAAAGACACTTTAAAAATGTACCTGATTAAAATGTGATTTTGGAAATAGTTTGGAATAGCTTATGCTGCAAACAACTAGCAAGTTTTTACCTCAGGATTGTTTTCTACTAAAATTAGCAGAGTAAATCTTTACCTATAACCATGAACAGTGCCCATTTTGAACAGTTCTCAGACTTCTTACCTCTCCATGTTCTTGAAGATGTTACATTTATCATCCCGTGTGGTCAGCTGAAATGCCAGTGCTGCATGGTGACTCTCCAGCACGGCTGTGTCATTGTAAAGGAGTGCCAACTCACTGCCTGCATTGCACAGAAACGAGTTTGTTCTGCCAGGGTGATCAACATCATGTACTGTGGCTGCAATAAGAGCTGCCACCTCATCAGTCCGGTCCAAACTTTGCTGAACAGACAGAAAGAACGTTTAAAATACAGTCTGAAGACATTCAGCTGGACAGTAACATGAAATTTAAATGACAAAGCAGATTGGGTGAAGGCAGTTAACACCGGACTCTTTCACTCATGTCCCTGAAATACAGCATAGGCTGATAGAATGTTGATCACAGGGCAAGTGGTGAGTTAGGACACAAGCTGAAACACAGGATAATTAACAGAAATTCAAGAATCTTGACACTAAAATTTCAAAGATAGTAGGAACTGCGGATGCTGGAGAATCTGAGATAACAAGGTATAGAGCTGGATGAACACAGCAGGCCAAGCAGCA